TGTGTGTGCTTGGTGTATGTAGTGTGTGCGCGTGAGGTGTATGTGTAGTGTGTGCGAGGTGTATGTGTAGTCTTTGTGTGTGCGCGTGAGGTGTATGGGTAATGTGTGTGCGTGAGGTGTATGTGTAATCTGTGTGTGCGCGTGAGGTGTATGTGTAGTGTGTGCACGTGAGGTGTATGTGTAGTCTGTGTGCGTGCATGCACGTGAGGTGTATGTGTACTGCGTGCATGTGTGTGCATGAGGTGTATGTGTAATGTGTGTGCATGCTTGCGCGTGAGGTGTATGTGTAGTGTGTGTGCATGTGTGCTTGGTGTATGTAGTGTGTGTGTGCGTGAGATGTATGTGTAGTGTGTGTGCGCGCGTGAGGTGTATGTGTAGTGTGTGCGTGTGTGTGCGAGGTGTATGTGTAGTCTGTGTGCGTGCATGTGCGTGAGGTGTATGTGTAGTGTGCGTGTGTGCGTGTGTGCACGTGAAGTGTATGTGTACTGTGTGCATGTGTATGCGTGAGGTGTATGTGTAGTGCGTTTGCAAGGGGTGTGCTGTGCCTGTGTGGCCACACTTCTGGGGGTCCCGGTGTAAGCTCGGGACGCCTGTCCCTCCCCTGCCGTCCCCACAACAGCTACTCCAAGGACTACGACCCCGAGGACTGGCTGCAAGTGGACGGAGCCACGGGCCGCGTGTGGACGCAGCGGGTGCTCAGCCCGGCCTCGCCCTTCCTCAAGGACGGCTGGTACAGGGCCATCATCCTGGCCCTGGACGACGGTGAGCCGCCAGCCCGCCCCTGGCACGGGGGCGCTCTGACCTGGCTTCGCCCTGGGGCTCAGCTGTGCCCCTTTGCGCAGACTGGCAGGGCGGGCCTGGGCGGGGACGCTGAGCCCGCCCGCCCCTCCGCCCGCAGCCACCCCGGCCCGCACAGCCACCGGCACCCTCTCCGTGGAGATCCTGGAGGTGAACGACCACGCCCCCGTGCTGGCGCCGCCGCCACCAGGCAGCCTGTGCAGTGAGCCGCACCAGGGCCCCGGCCTCCTCCTGGGCGCCACGGACGAGGACCTGCCCCCGCACGGGGCCCCCTTCCATTTCCAGCTGAGCCCCAGGCTGCCGGAGCTGGGCCGCAACTGGAGCCTGAGCCCGGTCAACGGTGCGCTCCCTGCCCCGCTAGCCCGCTGCTCAGGGACCCGGGGGGTCGCGGCTCCGGGGTCCTGCCGCGTGTGCGCCCCACGGCTGCACCCTGGGAGGGCGGGCTCACTCACGTGCCCAGCGGACGGATGGGAAGCAGGCCCGGGGTCTCCGGATGCCAGCCCCGTCCGGGCACTGGGGGGCAGGCGAGGCGGGGGCCGGCCCGGGAAGTCGCTGACCGCGGGCGCCCTCCTCAGTGAGCCACGCACGCCTGCGGCCGCGGCACCAGCTCCCCGAGGGCCTGCACCGGCTCAGCCTGCTGCTCCGGGACTCGGGGCAGCCGCCCCAGCAGCGCGAGCAGCCGCTGAACGTGACCGTGTGCCGCTGCGGCCAGGACGGCGCCTGCCTGCCGGGGGCCGCGGCGCTGCGAGCGGGGGGCGCGGGCGTCAGCTTGGGCGCCCTGGTCATCGTGCTGGCCAGCGCCCTGCTGCTGCTGCGTGAGTGCCCCGCGCCCGGCCCCCTGCCCCCGCGCTCTCCAACCTCGCGGACCCCCACCCTGGACCCCGCCACGGGCCCCGCGGACTCCCACCCTGGACCCCGCCACGGGCCCCGCGGACCCCCACCCGGACCCGGGACCCGCCCCGCCCCCGCCGGTCCCAGCCTCTGTCCTGTGTCCCCAGTGCTGGTCCTGCCCGTAGCCCTCCGAGCGCGGATGCGGCGGCGTTCGCGGGGCAAGGGGCTGCTGCTCGGGCCCCAGGACGACCTTCGGGACAACATCCTCAACTATGACGAGCAGGGAGGCGGGGAGGAGGACCAGGTGAGGGATGGGCTCCTCCAGGTGGCCCCGGTGAGGAGGGGCAGTGGGGCGGGAACCCCAGCCGGGCTTTCCCAGTGGCCCGGGCTGAGCTCCACCTCCCCTGCCCGCAGGACGCCTACGACATAGCCCAGCTGCGCCACCCTGCAGAGCTGAGCGCGCGGGGCGTCCCTCTGGGCCGGCCGCCGCTGCGCCGCGATGCCCCCTACGGCCGCGTGCCCCCTCAGGCCTCGCGAGCGATGCCCACCAGCCCCGCCGACATCGCGGACTTCATCCATGATGTGGGTGCTCCGGGGACTCGCAACCACACGGGCGGGCAGCGGTGCACGCACGTGCAAGCGCAGACACGTGCATATACGCATGTGCGCACATCTACACACATGCACATACGAGCGTGGCACGTACATACACACGGGCACACACGTGCACACACGCTAAGCCTTTCCAGAGATGCTGTGTTCTGTCAGGTCCTGGTGGGTGAGCTCACCAGAGGGACCCCTGAACACAGGCAGGGCCCCCCCGCCTTGGGGTGCACAGGCTGGAGCTGGCTCTGGCTACCCAGGAAGGGCTTTCCAAGCATGTGGGCGTGTCCACCCCACTGGAGCCACTGGGGCGTCCCCAGAGCTTTGTCACTCTATGTTAATAATGTAGTAGACACCAAAGCAGGAAATCCACTGGGGGACAGCAGGGGAGGGGCTCACAGGTAACCCTCCACTACACCTGCCTGCAGCCCAGCACTCCGCCAGGAGAAGCCCCCGGCACACGCACGGGCCACCTGGGGGGTGGCAGGCACAAGGTCTGGCTAGGAGCACGTGTCCCCACAGCTGAGAGGACAGAGATGGAGACAAAACCCCGGAAGGCAGAGCCGCTGGTCCGGTGGACGAGGGTGCCCAGGTGGCCTCATTTCTGAAGGAGACAGGGCACAGTGGCAGGGACAGCACAGAGTCCTTGGGGAAAGGGCTGGTCGTAACCCCCAGGAAGGAGTGCTCAGGCCTCTGCCACCCTCCTGTGCTGGTGCCTTGGGCCACGGTGCCCTGGGCTGCGGCTGGGCGGGGGAGGGTGCCCGCTGGCCCCTGCGTGGTCCTGAGCTCCCTGGAACCTCTTTGCAGGGTTTGGAGGCTGCGGACAGCGACCCCAGCGTGCCGCCCTATGACACGGCTCTCATCTATGACTACGAGGGGGACGGCTCCGTGGCCGGGACTCTGAGCTCCATCCTGTCCAGCCTGGGCGACCAGGACCAAGATTATGACTACCTCAGGGACTGGGGCCCCCGCTTCGCCCGGCTGGCAGACATGTACGGGCACCCGAGGGGGTCGGACTAAGGGCCTGGACTTGGCGCCTCGATGTGGCCACTGGGCCAGGGAGGGAGGCTTTGTCCTGGGTACCCCTCCACCCAGATGCACAGGGCACCTGCCTGACCGTGGGAGCCCGTCTGGACACACCAGCCCCAGGCCAAGTGGCAGAGGTGGCCTCCAACCCGACAGCCCGAGGGCACCTGGCCCCACCCCATGGGCCCTGGGCGGCCTCCTCCGGGAAGGGCCCAAGTCCAGGGCAGGACTCAGCGGGGGAGGGGGCGTCTGTGTAGCAAGAGCTGCCCTGAGTCCCCCCGCTGGGGCCACACTCCCCCCACTCCTACCTGTGCCTCCCATGAGCGGACCTCCTCTTTGTACGAAAGTGAGCAGCCCCTGGGTAAATCTGAATGGAAAACATGCTAGTCTCTGCAGTGCGGTCGGTCGGCGGGAGGGAGCGCTGGGCGGTGGAGGGCTGCGGGGCGGGGCCTGGGCGCTCAGGTGCGCGGGGGCGGGGCCCGGGGTGCGCAGGTGCGCACGTTGCGCCGGGTGCACGTGGGGCCGCCTGCGTCCCTTCTCACGCCCCCTCCGGCGCACTGCGGCGGAGCCCGGGATTCCCTGCCGCCAGCGCGCACGCGCGGGCCCGGAGGTGCGCGGGGGCGGGGCCCGGGCGCTCAGGTGCGCACGTTGCGCCCGGGTGCGCTGGGCGCCCGGCTGCGTCCTCCGTGGCGGCTCCGCTGCGAGCTCCAGGACCGGGGGCCCCGCCTGGCGAGCCCGAGCCGCCCTGAAGCCCGGGCCGGGGCCGCTTCCACGGGTGGGCGGCTCCAGGCGGTCGGGACCTTGGGCGTCCCGGTCCGGGGCGGGGCCAGGGAGGCCGCGAGGCTGCAGGGGTCGGGGCCGGGGCCGCTGCGCCTTCGTCTGCGTCTCAGCACTTTCCAGGTTCCCAGAGGATTCTGCGAGGTCCTCTTCCAAGTCACTTTATCACGTTCTGAATCCGTCTCTGTGAATCTTCTGGCAACGGCACCGCATTCCTGCGTTCGGTAGGGAGAGCGGACGCCTCGACGCCGGCGGAGTCTCCGGTTCCGAGAACAAGTAAGGTCGTTTGGGTTTTTTTTTATTTTGTTTTTTGTTTTTGATTGTTTGGTTTTTGGTTTGTTTTTTGAGACAGAGTCTCGCTCTGTCACCGGGGATGGAGCGCAGTGGCGTCATCACAGCTCACTGCAGCCTCCAACTCCTGGGCTCCAGCGATCCTCCCGCCTGGGCCTCCCTCAGTGCTGGGACTGCAGGCCGAGCCACCGCGCTGGGCCACGGTCGCGTTTGCCCTCCACTCTGATTTCTTTGCGATAGCACAGTGAGGAAAATCACACCGGACGCTGCGCAGTACTCACAGTTTCCTAACTACTAATTGGCTTTTTTTTGCTTTGAGAATGGTCTCTGTATTTGCAGAGACCCCTAAAATCCCTCGTTGGCAGTATGTTGCATTTAAGAACGCCGTTAGCTCCTTTAAAAGTGTTATTCAAGTTCCATTCACCTAACACCATTCCAAGGTGTACAAGTCAGTGTCATGGAGCAAATGTGACGGAGCCACCGTAGACTGCACGGCGCCAAACTGTCCGTCAGGTGGAAGTGGGGGAAAAAGAAAAGAAAGAACACAGTTCCAAAAATGCTTCATCACCAGGAAAGAAGCCTGTGCCCATTCGGCAGTCGCTGCATGTCCGCGCCCTGTGGCCTGGGGCAGCCAGTGATCCGCTTTCTGTCTGGATTTGCTGATTCTGGGCATTTCATTAAGTGGAACCACAGACCACGTGGCCGTTTGTGCCTTCGCGTGGCATCGTGTTCCCAGGGTTCACCGCGCTGTAGCTCGGTCCGTGCTGCGCCCCCATCTGTGACCAGGGACAGTCCGCTGTCTGGACAGACGACCACATGTCTGTCCATTTCTCTGCCCGGGAGCACCGCGCCATCCCCACTCTGGGCCGTTTGTGACTAGTGCTCGCTCCAGCGCCCGTTTGCGGTTCTGGGCAGGTGCCCAGAGTGGAACGGTTGGGTCACGTGGTGACTCAGTGTTGACATCTTTGAGGAACAATTTACTTCCTTTTTTTTTTTTTAGAGTGATCTTGGATTTAAATTTAAAATTTTTTTAATAAGGGCAAAACGTACATAACATGAAACTTACTATTACTATTTTGTCTGACAGTGCAGCCTTGCCTCCTGCTCTTTTTTTGTTACTAATTGTGGAATATCTTTTTCCATCCTGTCACTTTCAGTCTATTTGTGTCTTTGTATCTCCAGTGAGTCTCTAGTAGACAGCATATAGTCGGATCACTTGTTTCTGTCCATCCTGCCAACCTCTGTGTTGTGACTGGAGCATTTAATCCACTTAAAGAAAACACCAATGAGGAGGCGCTTCTGTCATCGTGCTTCTGTTTTCTACGTGCCTTATAGCTTTGTGGTCCCGCATTTCCATCCTCTATGTTTAGTTGATTTTTTATAGTGAAATGTTCAAATTCCTTTCTTATTTCTTTCTGTGCATATTCTGCAGCTGTTTTCTTTGTGGTTACCATGGGGATTACCTTTAACATCCCAAAGTCATAACACCCTCAGCTGAATTTATACCAGCCTGGCTTCCATGACATAAAAACTCCGCACCTGTACAGCTCCAGCCCCACGTGCCCAAAAATATAAACCAATTCTTTCAAGTGCATTAGTCTCTTAAAGTACGTAGGAGAAGAAATGTGGAGTTAGAAACCAAAGTTACATTAATACCAGCTTTTAGACTACTACTTGCTTTCTGAAATGTATTAGTCTCTTAAACCACATGGAAAACAAAAAGTACAGTCCTTCCCACGGACGTTGCAAGCTGTCAGTAGACTCCAGTTCCAGGTAGTTACACCGGAGACTCTGCCAGCGCCACTGTGGTCCAGGTGGGGGACGGATTCCTGTGCTCCCCACACCCCATCTTCCCAGAACTGTCTCTTCTCTTCCTTTTAAAAATACTGTGCTCATCCTTGTGAATGTAAAATATCTCACTGTGGTTTTGATTTGCATTTCCCCAGTGACTGAGGATGTTGGGCATTACTTCACACGCTCATTGGCCATTTGTATATCTTCTTTGGAGACATGTCTGTTCCAGTCCTTTGCCCATTTTTAAAATTAGGTCGTTTGCGTTTTTGTTGTTGAGTTTT